ATGATCATCTATAATTGATAGAAAATATTGGTTACCAGATAAGGAAGGCGTCACATTTGGTGAGCCCCAGAGATCAACATGTAAGTACTTAAGTACTTGCTTAGTGTTGTGCTTTCCCATCTCAAAACTCACCTTCTTTGCTTTTCCAATGACACAGAGTTCACACATCACTTCTTTTCCAATGTCTTGTTTTTTCAGGATTCCACTTCGCACAAGAACCTGCATATTTCTGTAACTTATATGACCCAATCTACTATGCCACATTGATACCTCTTTAGTTTTCTCAGGGTGAAAAACTTCAGGTGTTGTCAATGTTTCGCCATCAAGAATGTATAAGCCTCCCTTCAAATTCCCTTGAAGTGCCATCTTCTGATTCTTGTGAAAAACGATCTTTCCTTCTCCTCCAGAGTGAGTGAATCCCAACCTGTCAAGGGTACTAGTAGAGATCAGGTTTCTTCTAAGAGTTGGAACATCTAACATTTTTCATGAGTTTAACAGATCTTCCCTTTGTGTTCAGTCGTATCATTCCACGTCCTGAGGTTTATATGGAATGATAATCTCCAAGCAATATCTTCGTTGGTCTGATGTCTGTGAAATCAACAAACTAGTCTCGCCTACACGTCATATGATGGGTGCATCCCGAATCTATGACCCAGTTGTCTTGAGCATCATCTGGTGATGAATGTAAAGCACTCATCTTCTCAACTTCTCCTATGGCCACTGCAACTTCACCACTGTCTTCTGACTCCATCCGTCTCTTCATAGCATAGCAGTCCTTCTTTACATGACCTTCTTTCTTGCAATACCAGCATGTTACCTTCCTCGGCTTTGAGCTGCTTCTTGACCTCCCACCCCGTGAGTCCCATGACTCTCTGCGGCTTGATCTTCCTCTGTCACTAGTGTACAGAACTATAACATACCCATTCTCGCCTTTGCTACCCTCATTTATCTCTCTTTGCTTCGATCTTGCAGCTGAAACTACTTCCTCTAAAGTTATAAAGTATTTTCCATACTTCAACGTATGCTTTAGTTGATCATAGCTTTCTGGAATCAAACTCAGAAACACAATACCTTGAATCTCATCTGTGGCATTAACATTCAAGCTACTCATCTCTGTAACTATCTTCAGAAAGTCATCAACATTGACATTGATCGTTTTTAATCCATCACACTTGAATTTATAGAACTGAGACTGTACAAAGATCCTATTAGGTAAGCACTTTGACATGCGCAGCCTCTCCAGAAGAGACCACATAGACGCCGCGGTGGCACAATGTTTGATTTTCCTCAATACATGATCGCTTATGTTCAAGATTATCATATCTTGTGCTCAATCATCCTTCTCCAATTTGATTGGATCCAAGGTCGCCTTCGTCTGAGACGTTGACTCCTTCTCTTAATCCTCATTCTCGTCTTTCTGGCCTTCTCCTTTCGCTTCGATCTCGAAATTATCTGAGAGGATAAGTTCTTTCAATCCGGAGACTCCAAAGTGCACCATCATACGAATCCTCCATAGAGAAAAATCACCGGTGCCGTCGAATCGTTCCACCACCACCTCCGCTCGCGTCATCGGCTTCATCATCGAGATCGATCGCAAAAACGAGCAGTGAGTAGCTCCGATACCACTTGTTACAACTATATCACTTCAATCAAGTCTCTAGTTTCCCAACCTTCAACGATTCCTCCAGCTTTTATCTCTATCTTCTTGCTTTCCTGCAAATAACCAAGATAACGAAGAAGAAATCTAAAGCAATACAAACATGATTGTTTACCTAGGGTATTTCTCCGATATAAAGAAGTAATCATTGGGGTCAAATTCAATCCAGCAATCCACTAAAATGGTATTTCTCAGCTCGATCTAACAAATGTATGAAGAATGAGAACAACGACAACATCACAGCTCAGTTACTCTTTTATATATCCCAAGAGTTTATAATAACCGGACCTTAATTAGATTCATAGATCAAACCCATAACTGGAATTAACCTTTAGCCCGTCTAATCCTCTAAGTCCAACAGAGACTTTGACTCGTCTCATCATTCACTTAATACTAACATCAAGTATAAGTTCACTATTCAACACGTATGAAGATAGATAAATAATAATTGCTCCAAATGGCCGGAGTCACGTGTCCACTTACATTTATTGTATATTATCTCCTTTTCTTGGATAAAAAAAAGAATACATTTGTGACTATTCGAACTTATGTTTATATATACAATTAGTTGTGTGTGTGCTGTCGTAAGAGATCATTATGGGATCAATGGCTCAGAAGTCGGTTTTGATGTTATGCGGAGAGTTCATGGAAGCATACGAGACCGTAGTACCTCTCTACTTCCTCCAAGCGTTTAGCGTTAGCGTCCACTGCGTTTCTCCTGGTCGCAAAACTGGCGACAAGTGCGTCATGGCGGCTCACGATCTCCTCGGCCTCGAGGCATGTTTCTCTTACCTCTCACTTTATTCTTCATCTGGTTTTTGCCTCTAATATATTCTTTGCTTGATTAATAAAATTAAAGATAACAATAAGATATATTAAGGAAAAAAGACCCCCAAAATCATTACATTTGCAATTAGTAATCCAATTATTATCCGAATTTTCATTATTTTCATTGTACTCTTACGGTCTTAGCCATTAATACTACTGAATAATTTAAATTAAAAAAAAAAAAAAAAAAAAAAAAAAAAAAAAAAAAATTATTTTTATAGTTAAAGAGTTCATTTCAAATGATGTTGTAGAATATTTTTGAGATTAAATGATGTTTTTAAATTTTATGACTGTTTGGATTATGCATAAAATGTTTAATTGGTTGTATTAGATATAGATAATGCCGTTTTTAATGCAAAACCAAACAAATGAAAAAAATATATAATTATTTTTAATTGGTATGTAAAGACAATTATTTTAAGGACACACATTTCCCATCTTATTACAGATATACTCCGAGTTGGTGGTCGATCATCTAACACTAAACGCAAACTTCGATGAAGTTATCCCCGAGCAATACGACGCCATAATCATTCCCGGTGGACGTTTCACGGAACTTTTGAGCACTGATGAGAAATGCGTCAGCATGGTGGCTCGATTCGCTGAGCTTGATAAGATTATTCTCACGAGCTGCCACAGTCAGCTGCTGTTGGCGGCAGCTGGTCTACTCGCCCGTGGAATGAAGTGCACGGCGTTCGAAAGCATGAAGCCTTTAATCGAGCTCTCGGGCGGCGCGTGGTGGCAACAGCCCGGTTTCCAAACCGTTTTCGACATTACCGATTGTGTCATGGACGGAAAATTTATTTCCACTTTGGGTTGGCCAACGCTTGGAAATACTCTCAGGGTTTTGTTAGAATCACTTGGCTCCAAGATTACTTGTTCCAAAGAGACTCAGCCTTCTTTGCTTTTCTTGATTGGGGTAAGCTTCTTCTTATCATATATGATACATATGACTCTATTTCTCTCTTTATATTTTGTTGGAATCACAAATTTGACTCTGTTATTTTTGGACAATATGGAATGGGAATATAAAAATTGATGAAATAAACAATTTCTTGAGATGCAAATTACAAATTAAAAAATTAGGAAAGACAGTAGTCAAAAAATTATAACTATATCCGTTCCATATTAGATATTGTTTTAGTTTTTCACACAAATTCAAATTGATTAAATGTTCAGTCTTTTCTTTCCAATTATTAAAATTATATTAAATTTATTGTTTTAAAAAAAAAATATATAGGCATAAATAAATGTATAAATTATTGTATTAAAATCTTAAAGCGATATTTATTTATTTTGGTACAAAGATGTTACTCGACAACAACAATGGAAAGAGTATAACCACTAAAATATCACACCTCCGGTAACAAACACAAAACTTAGAAAATATGCTAATAACATAAATATACTATTATTTAGTATTTTCAAATATCCATAATCATATATATTAATATTTTGTGTAAATTCACACGCACATTTGAGTAATTATATGATCTTATCAAAAAAGTAGCACTAAATAATTGATTTTCTCATTCACATCTTCTTTTGATGTATAAATTAGGATTGTGTTGAAGATTACAGTAACAACGTACCATTTAAAGCGTTTCAAGCTCTGGGATGCAAAGTGGACGCAGTGTCACCAAACAAGAAGAAGGGTGACAAATGTGCTACAATCGTTCACGACCTGGAGGAGGGAAGGCAACTTCCTACCGAGAAGTCCAGCCACAACTCCTATGTGACTGTCGCCTGGGAAGATGTCTCTGTGGATGATTATGACTGCATTGTGGTTCCCGGAGGAAGGTCGCCGGAGCTCTTGGTGATGAATGACAAAGCCGTCGGATTAGTCAAGAAGTTTGTTGAGAAAGGCAAGATTGTTGCTGCCATTGGAATGGGCAACTGGCTACTTGCAGCTACCGGCGCTCTTAAGGTAATAGCCGGATGAAGATCTGATATATATGTCTCGCTGCTTCAAAATTACAAAAATAATTTTAAAAATTTATAGTTTCAAAAATCTTAAAGACCGCCACATATCATTACATTTCCATTATTGTAATTATTTTTGCAGAAGAAGAGATGTGCAAGTGATTACGGGACAAAGGTGGCTGTGAAGGTTGCTGGTGGTCAGATCTTGGAATCAGAACGATGTGTGACGGATGACAAGATGGTCACAGCGGCAACAACTTCTGATCTGCCTGCATTTGTGTATGCATTGTCGACTGCACTTGGTCTCTCTGTTGTATTCTAATGTCATTGTCTGCACTGAACCAAACCAATAAAGATCCAAACCGAACTGGATATCTTATATATAAATACCATAGGTCTTCAACTTATGTCTCCAAAAACATAAAAACCCTTGATAAATCCAAATTAAACCCGAACTGAATACCCATGCTAAAAATTGCCATGTATGTGATTGCTACTACCACTATTTAAAACACAAGCAACAACGTTTCTCACCATAAAAATAAAATATGCATACTACTTAACAGTCTCTCTTGTCTCATCTAAACTCTAGCTACACACCAAGTTGCTTCTTGAGACTCGCCTTATATATCTCCGAAACAGCACTAGCAGTATCAGCAACACGAGTTTTCACCTCCAAGATCTTCGAATCCATATACTCCTTATGTTTCGATATCGAATCAATAAGCGCAAATAGCTTTGCAGCAGTAGCCTGGACCTCCGCTTCACTCTGCTTCGCCTCTTCTTCCAATCTAACCTCCGAAGCTTTCAACATCTCCGCAGCTTCTTTCTCCACATCTTCAAGATTCCTCTCCTCAGTTTTCAAACCCTCCGCCATTGTTTTCACCTCCAAGTCGCATTTTGCAGCAAACTCCTGAGCTTCCTTCTTCACTATCCTCATCTTCTCCTCCGCTTCGTTGATCTGCAACTGAATCGACCCGAGAAGACGCTTTCTTGACTCCATCTTGGACGCCAACTCAGAAGCCTGTTCTTGTAACGTAACAAGCTCCTCCACCTTCTTCATCGACCCTTCTTTAACCCCGTCGTACAACGAACACAGAGCTGGCTTCACCACACCTTTATAGTCCACACCCATCACCTCACCAGGCTCAACCCCTCTCTCATTCACAGCAAACTGTACATCCACCTTCAGTCTCCTCATAGCTTGGTTACAATCAATAGCAAGCCTCTGAATCTGATGAAACTGATTACTAATCTTCGAGTTAACCTCCCAAGCTTTCTGCTCCCAACCATCTCTAGCAACCTCAGCTTCCTCAACACCTCTCTCCACAGCCACCAACTCTCTCTTCATCCTCTCCACATCTCTCACATTAAAACTCTGCTCCTCCACACTCTTCTTCAACCCCTTGTTCTCTTCACAGATCCTCTCCTTCTCTTCCTCCTTAGCAGCCAACTCCTTCTCTTTCTCCTCCACAACCTTCTCCATCCCACGAGTCCTCTCACTACGCTCCGTAACCATCGTATAAAACTTGTTCACATCTTTCTCAAGCTCAGCTTTAACTCTCTCAAGAGCCTCTTTCCTCGAGGGACCTTTCCTCAGAGCATCGAGTTTCGTATCTAACTCTCCAGAAACCTTCTCACAGTTAGAGATAGTCTCAGCAATACTAGCCTTCTCAGCTTCTAACTTCCCCAAGAAATCCGAATCAAGATCGTTAACCAAATCATCCTCATTGCGAATAAAATGACGGAAGCTTTGAAACCCGAACAATCGCATCGAGTTAGCATCCGGAGCCACCGAGGGGTTAGACGCTAGATACTGACGGAAACGAGCGTACTGAACCAACCAGTTCGCCACGGCGAGGACGTTAGGCCAATTGTGAGGCGAGTTGGGAGCGCGGAGAGTGGATTTAGTTAGCTTGAAAGGACAGTTAACCGATTTAAGGAAGAAGACGACGTCCTCGTCCCATTTGAGAGTGTCGCAGGGGCAATCGACGGTTGAGAGGAGGAATTTTAGGGTTTCGGAGATGTCTTTGACGGGAGGGACGGGGTTGGCGCGGAGAGAGATGGGGAAGTTGTGTGAGGCGAGGAAGGTGTTGATTGATCGGATTGATGAGGATTGGTGAGATCTGTCTGAGTGGAGATCTCGGGTTAGGCCGATTGAGGAGGGGCGGCTGCTTGCGAAGCTTGCGTCGGAGTCTCTTGAGTTTGGGATGTGACGGTGGTGTTCTACTGATGGTGGTGGTGGCGGTAGGGCTCCGCCGAAGATATCGGTTGCTTTTCTCTTGCCGGTGACTTTGCCTCCTCTCATCTTTTTGATTTTTTAGATAACGGAAACGCCGAGAATGGGGAATTATAGCGGAGTAGAGTAGGTTTTGTGATTTTGTTTTGTATTTTGAAATTTGAATTTAGGGAAAGTGTAACCTAAAATTTTTTTTTGTTCTCAACCCTTATTTTTCCCTCTCCTTTTCAACAACATTTTGTTGTCATTTTTTTTTTAAAGGAGATTCGCAAAGACTGGTATACGTTTCAATTTCATCAATGTTTAAGCAATTATGTTTTTAATATCCACTATTGGAGGATATCCACTAGGTTAAGATGAAGTCTATTCCGATTGTAGATTTTCGAGGTTAAATAATTCAGTTACATACAGATATTTATAAATTTTTGTCAAATTCAGTTCAGATGTTTGCAGATTTGATTTATATTTGGATAATCTATTTACATTATTAAAAAAATCAAGTTTAAATTTTTCAAAATCTAAAAATAAAAAATTTGGTACAAATATATTTGGATATCAAAAATATGTGAGATATTTGAGATTGTCCAAAATATTTTTTTTATTTCTGTTAAAAAATATCTATCTATTTATCTATCTATATAAGAAATGTTTTCTTCCCAACTGTACTGCCATATCGTTAATTAAGAAAATCTGGGATTTACACATGTTCAACTTCTTTGTTGCTCTCTTGCGTGATTATACTATTTCATTGTTTGGGCTAAGTGAAATTTGAATATACTATTACATAAGATTCAATTTAATTGAGACCCCTTTCACTAGGCCCAGTTATAACTCAAGCTTTGTCCAACACTTAAACCTAACCCCAGAGACGGATCACTTCCCCTTCATATGCACAACCGCCATTACGCTACAGACGCCGCATAATTGTCTATCGATCAATTTAACCCACTAATCACACTGCCTACAAGCCGATGTCAAATCCTTTTCATTTTCACAAATCATAGCTCATGTATGATCTCAAAGAAACTCTTCAATCATGGCCGCTAGTGTAGAACCAAAGCTGGTTTTGGCCATCAATATTAGCTCTATGTTGGTTGGCGGTAAGCTGCTGCGCCATGTTAAGCTTTTTAATATATATTCTCGATCAGACCTTCTACAACTTCTTATACTATGTTTTACAAATTCTCTGAGCATCAAACGACGGTCAGTATACAATGTTGATGATTTATGGTTACTTATTATATATTGATTGATCGATGGTTTCTGCATTCGACGTGTTACTGATTAATAAGTTAGGTCTATAGTTTAAACAGTCTCTTTCCTTTTAGTTTAAACAGTCTCATACCATCAACTACCGACCATTAGAGAATGTTGATGTTTCCTGATTCCGTATTATATATAGCTGGGTTATGCTGATTAATAAATTATGATCTTTGTTGTATGTAAATACAAGGTTGGCTCTCTATCAACGCTACCTCAGACACTCATTTCTACTATGACAAGGAGTGGCGCAAGCAGTGCTTACCTGCAGAAGTAAGCACTCTGATTTTTCATTAAGGCTTCGAATTGTAAAAGCAGATCAAGCGGTCCAGATCAAGTGGTTCATGCAGATTAAGCAGGACAAGTGCAGATTAAGTAGGACAAGTGCAGATCAAGCGGATCATGCAGGAGAGATGCATATCAAACAATTTATTATAAATTATGAATTAGAAAATCAGTTCAAACTATAGATCATATATTCAAAAAATAAAATATTATACCAAAATATCAAAATAAATATCTAAGATGTTGTAGGATCAGCCGAAATGTTAATTAAATTTCCATTTTCGTTTTAGTTGATCAAAATTATTTTTGAAGAACTGGCAGGGTACTAATATTAAACTTTTTGTTGATATTTATATAGAAAGATTTGTATATTTTTGTTGAAAAATATTGTGTTTTGTTTGTGACTGGATGTCATACTTATAATTTAAAAATGAAATTTATTTATTGGGAACTATATTGTTTGAGCTAATCACTATACATTATTTATAAAATCAAATAAATATATTTAAGGGAAAATTGCCAAATATGACTCAAAACTTGATTTGAAATGCAAAAGTAAACCCAAACTTGAATCAAATGCAAAAGTAACTTAAAAGGCTATTGAAATTACAACCAACTCCTTGTGAACAAACAAAAAACGCGAATTTTTTTTACGTTTCTAGCCCTCGCAAGTCGTCTGCCCAGACGACTTTAAAATAAGTCG